ATTTTAAATTATGATGAATTTTACATATTTTTTGTTCCAGGCCATTATAGGAAAGGTATCAGTAACATGAAAAAAATTCTATCTGTCAAAAAATTTTGAAATGTTTGTACCTTTACTAAATAATTATGAAAAAACATATACAAACTCGTCAGTAACATTAAATAGGTCAAATAACAAAAAATAAATGTCAAAACTTTTTGACAGGTGGGATTTTTTTATCTTACTTCGAATTTTTCTCTGGGGCGCGAGTTTTGAAACACCTTGTATAAAAAATGTGTTAGTGGCAATATCTCCAATATTTTTTCTCTGAAATTTGTTGTTTTTTTTCTTCCCTTTTTTCAATGTTTGTTTCAAAAAGGGTAAGTGAGATTAGGGAAAATACAAAGTCGTGGCATCTGTCCGCACTTCGCCCCTTTTAACCGTCATTCCGACCGGCACAAGTCCGTCGCAATTTCCCTAAAACCCCGAAAAAGGGTCGAGACACCCTTGGAGGAAGTGCGCCCGTCGTTTGTCCGGCCCGCGCCGGTATCGTGCCCAGCCAAGGAAACAAAACACGAGCGCACAGCTCACTTGACGGACCCTCTCGTGGGACGTCTAACCCATGAACGTTCCCACGAGCGATATACAGATGCCTTAGAATAGCACCTGGCTAGACGAAGACAACCAGATCGGGTGTCGAAAATTTCAGCACAAAAAATCAAATCAAACTGCAACAAAATAATAAAATCTTGTTGTGGAAACCGAGTAATTAAAACCAGTCATTGTTTATTCGTAAAAAACTCGCAATTGAGGTCTCGTCCGCTCGATTTCCCCGTTCTTGATTAATTAAAATCGGTGAAAAGTGGAAAAATCGTCAACCGGTTATTATCGTTGCGCAGCCGTTAATTGCTTATTTAAAACGGAAGAAATGAATCGATGATATCGTGAGAACGCGCCTGTCGCTTCGATTTCACGATTTTAAAAACCGCTACGAATTAATAACAACAACAACAAATCCGGCCCTGCACATCATGCACATTTTTCATAAGATTCGATTTTTGTTGCACCTTAATTACGTCGAAGAGTTTCGTGACTGGAAGATGATGGATTTTTACAGCGACTACCGTGAGAAAGTCGAAAAAAATCTTAAGATTCGGTTTCAGATCGCCGTTTCCGTCGGCCTTTAATTAGTTTAAACGTGCGGATGGCTCCTGGAACGTAATTAGTGACCACAGAACCAAAATAGTTCGATGAAATGAACTTTGGAAAACTAGTCCCATAAATACGTTTTTTCGAGCCGCCGGCGATGCCCATTCAAGAGGAAACAACCGACATGGGCGGATCAATGGTTCATTCATGGACGATGACCACACACAACTATCGCCGCCACTGTCTGTCTCTCAATCAAATTTCATAATTACCAAGCAGTGGCGCAGGGAGGGGGGTTTTGGGGGGCAAAATTATTTTGTAGTGGTAATTATGGGGAATAATTTCAAGTAAGATAAGTCACCAGGAACAAAATGTATAAAAAATTCCATCCCTCGAAAAATTTCGACGTTTGAAATTTTTGTATTTCTATTTAATGTTACTGATGATCTTGTGTATGTTTTTTTTATAATTAATTAGTGAAAGTACAAACATTTTGCTTTCTTGTTTCTTCTTCTAATAGCTTGTAGCAAAAAAATTTGGGAAATTATTTTTCCAACAGGAGTAAATACAGTCAAAGTGCAAAATTTAAACTCTCATAATTTCAATTTTTTTATATAGAATTTTTCTATGTTCCTGGTATCTTACCTTACAAAGGGCGCGAGTTCTGAAACACCCTGTATTTTAAAAACAACCAAATTAAACATTTGAATTTTGTATACAATTATTTTCGATGTTGTCATAACTTTAGATGATTCACAAATTTTTAGTTTTTTTATTTTGTAAAATGCGGCAAAACTGTACCTCAAACGTCATGTTTTTATACATGTATACATACATAATGGGTGAATATAAAGTATGGAACCAAGCGGTTTTATTTCTAATCATTTGCCTCCAGAAAATAATAATTAATATTAATTAGAGTAATATAAAAAATGTGATCGTAATTTCAGAACGAAATTTTGTTTTGTTTTTGAGATATGCGATTTTTTTTGTCAAAATTGCAATTTATGTGAAAAAAATTTTTTGAAAAAATTAAATATAAAGTAGATAGTTGTAATCCTTAGAGTATAGCTTTGATTTTAATAATGATTTTATAGTGGGTTGCCATTTAAAAAAAATAATTTTTTTGTCGAACTCAAAAACAAAAGGAAATTTCGAAAAATTTTATTCTTGTTAAATCATCACATTTTTATTGTACTTTATCACACATCAATTGTTTTTTTTTTAAATTAATAGTTTAAGCAAAAAACGTTTGGTTCCATACTTTTTATTCACTTGGTATGTAAAATGCTCCGAGAAATTACTTGGCGACGAGAAAACTGGAAAATTCTTGATCGTTTAGAAGTTACAGTTGAATTAATATTTTGAATATTTTTGACTTTATCAGCAATTTTCTCGATAACTATTTAATAACGTAGGACATTTTTCTTTTTTTATGTGATAAAAAAAATTATTTGCTTTCCAATGGTACCAAACAAAAAAGACTAACGTCAATAATTCCCAAGTTATTAGCAATAAACCACTCCAGGTACCAAAAATCGCCCAAAATTTCGACAAAAATTGAAAAACTAAAAAACTAAAATGGAACCATTTGCACTCTTGAGTTTTAAAAACGTTCAAAAATGTTATAAAAATGCAAAAAAAAATTGTGTAAGTTTTGAATAATTGTATTAAAACATTGAGACTGTCGGGCAGCGTGGTGGTATAGCGGCATAACTATTTAACATAGGACAATTATTTTTTTTTATATGATAAACGATTAAAAAAAAACAAAAAAGACTAGCGTCAATAATTCTGAAGTTATTAGATAGCAATAAATCGCTCTGGGTACCAAAATTTCCACAAAAATCGAAAAAATTGAACCATTTGCATTCTTGGAGGTTCAAGAGACTTAGAAAGTACAAGACGTTGAAAAAATGCAAGAAATTTTTGAAAAATTTTGTGTAAGTCTGTACAATCAAGTCACCAATTTTTCACTAATTCAAATTCAAATACTAATTCAAATTAGCAAAAAAAGATGGCGGGCGCATAAATAAGGGCGCAAACTTTGAAACATGTGCACATGTTCTAAGAAGTATAATAAGAGAGAGATAGACCGCTTAAATAAGAACGTAAAGAATAATAAAATGGGAAATAAATACTAACTTAAAAAAGCACTTAAAGGCGCCAATTTTAAAACAAGTTTCTACAAAAGTGTTAATAGTGGAATAAGTTAATAGTGTATAGGGAATAAGGAAACAAGAGGTAAGTAACAAGAAAGGTAGTTTTGTAATAAAATATAGAAATGAAAATTTTTTTCTTAATTATTATTATTACTACTTAATTAAAAAATGCCAGAAGTGTACTACAGTAAAATGGATATATGTAAGTAAAATGAAATATAAAATAAAGGTAGCATGAAATGTACAATAAAAATTATAGAAATAAATAAAAGCATTTTGTTATTTTGTAAATTTGTAAACTTTTAATACGATGGTTCGTTAACTTTTATGGATAACTTTGGAGCCAAATTAAAAAAAAAACTTATTTTAAAACCAGTTTAAATTTAATAAAGTAGTGTTTGACTATTAAGTCGTCGTTTCAAAGATGACTTTGTTAAAAAAAAAAACAAAAAAGCAATTTTGAGAGATCAAAATTTTGCTAGTTTTTTGATTTCAACAACATTTTTTTTGAAACTTTGAAACTTAGATGTTGATTCTAAATACATTTTTTGTCGTATTTGCAACACAATAGTTACTTTACAAAAAAATAAATTTTCCGTAAATTTCCAAGGCATACCTATTTGCAATATAACAAAAAAAATGTTTTTCCCCAATGCGTGATTTTGCCCATTGGCGTAGAAATGCTACGGTTGTCAGTGTAACGGTGATGGATCTAGTAGGCGTGGGGCTCGTGCAGCGTGAGAATCGAGCAGGCCTTGATTACCGCTTCCGTTAACTGATTGAATGCTGTTCCGTCTCGGTCGAGCCTTGATTGCTTTTATTCATCGTGAACGATTTTTTGAGCCACACTGTATTTACAAACCTGCTCCAACCTATAATTATTTCCTTACAATGCATAATTCTGGTGTAAGATACGAGATTACGAGCCTTAAAAACAACTTTACACTGTAATTATAAAGCATAATAAAAAAGCTCAATTACGCACACTTGATGCGAATTAATTTTTCGCTCTAAATTTTTGGTCCAATTCGAAAAACGTGTGAAAGTCGGATTTCACTCGCTCGTAAATATTTTAATGATTAAAACAGACGTCAATAAATAAAGTGCTCAAAGTTTTTATTAATTTCCTCTCGTCGAGTGATGATTTGCAAGTTTAATGACAATTAAGTCGAATTATCGCCCATTTTGGGCTTGTTTAGAGGGCGTCGTGTCGTTTTTGGGCAATTAAACCGAGCCCTGTTTTCGAAATCGGCGCTTTTATCCTTGACGCACCCACTAATCGAATCAAAATCGCTCTCTTTCCAATCCGTAGGATGGAGTGTGGCGAGCACCTGTCCCGTTTTCCCACGGCTCACACCGGAAGTCCAATTAACCGCAGCCACCTCTTCGCTGGCAAAACATTACCGTGATTATCCCCTTTTGTCGTTATCCTTGAAGAATGCTGGAGTCCTTGTTAAGGACGACGCATAGTTTCATGTAAGGTGGCGACTGTTATAAATCACAATGGGGGTCATTTGAAAACAATGCCCATTTCGTTGATATGCGCATGGGGTCGGTGACTACTATCTACGTTCAACAATGTCGTCATTTGTGAATGAAAATTGGGGAAATTTGGGCTGGAAGTTGGGGATTTTTTACAGGGAGGTGATGGGGTCCATCATCCTTTAGATGGATTAGGTGAGAGAGAGTTCGATGGGTGCGTGATTTTGATCCGACGGAGATAAGGCTTTACGACGTAACTACGTAATCGGAATTAGGCGCCAGGGACGGACTGCGAAATTTTACACCATTAAATTAAAATCACAAATTCATGAAATTCTAACAAAATGTCGGATATTTTTTAAAACAACTGATTTGTGAGATGTAAATAATAAATGAGGACTTTTCAAAATTACACTTTCTTAAAAAACCCAATTTGATTTTTCTTATTACAGCACAGTTATTATAAGGTAAAATTACCTAAAACAAGGTTATTGTTGTATCAAGAGAATAACTATTTTAATAGCGAGAACGCAGGTAACGCCAGAGGCGACTGAAAAAAGCCGAGGGCATTTTATGTTTATTCCAGAGATGCATACAAAATTTCCAACAGACTAAATTAATAATAACATAAAAAATGATAAATTTGTCAATGAATATCAAATAATTTGTGAAAATATTCAGTTTATTTAATTGCTCACTTTAAAAAAAAAATCCGTCTCGAGGAGTTATAACTCAACAGATTCAACTAATTTAATTTTTGTTTATTTTAAGAATAAAAATAGGATTTTTATTTTTTTATTTTATTCCTGAGGAAATAAACGATTAAAGTACCAATCAAAAATGAGGGAATAAAGCGTCATTTGATTCCCTCTTGTCTCTTAAAATGAATAAATGGAATTATAAGATTTGAGTAATTCTTTGAGATGCTGAACATTTTTTAATTGTTTTCAATCCAAAAGATGGATAATATTTTCAAATTCAAGCTTATTTTAGATAAAATTATTTAAATTTATTGTAAACTTAATATGTATTAGTGGTCTTTAAAAGATTAAATAATTTTGGACTAATATTACAATAGTAATAGTAGCATCTTAAAAAAAAATCAATACACAATTTACAAAATGTACAACTTTGTGTAAAATTACATGAAAAATATAAATTTTGATATCTAATATTTTTATGACGTGTGTGCAAAACCAAATAAAATGATAAAATACCTACACAAAAATGTGAGTTATTTATGTAAAGTTACAAGTGTTTGTAATTTTAGGATACAGAGTGTGCCAGAATTCGCGCCCCAGAGAAAGATGCCATACGCGGTAAGAACATGGAAAAAAATGTTTAAAAAATCTATCTATAAAAATTTCGAAATTATGAGTTTGTACTTTGTCTCTATTTATTTCTGTTGGAAAAATAATTTTTTAAGTTTTTTTGCTACAGGCTTCTAAGAAGAAGAAACAAAGAAGCTATATTCTAAACTGGAACTCTGTTTAATGTTATTTGTGGCTTTTATTGACAAAATTTTTGTACCTTTACTAAATAATTATAAAAAAACATATACAAGGTCATCAGTATCATTAAATAGACGTAAAAAATGTTAAACGTCAAAATTTTTTAAACATTTTTTAGTACTCTGGGGGACTACCCAATTACTTCCTTTCAAGGAAGTGCGCGACTTACCGGACACCTGTATACAAGAAAATCAGTATCATTAAATAGACATAAAATAATGTGAAATGTCAAAAAATATATGTCAAAATTTTTTGAAAGAGAAAAAACATTTTTTCCATGTTCCTGGTATCTTATCTTACTTGAAATTTTCCTCTGGGATGCGAGTTCTGGCGCACTCTGTATATTATCTATATAGAACCTCTATTATTCGATCTAATTATTGCATTATCATTTTTCGGACTATTTAATTCACATTTTTTTCTTAAATGAAGTAAATAAATTGAAATAATATGTGTATTTATTTAAAAATTAATAGTAAAAAATACACAAAAAGTATATTCTAACTTTATATGTATATCAAAAAATAATACAAAATAATTAGCATG